AGCCCTGGGGCTGAGAGTGAGCTCACCTTTCTCTACATAGCAGGTTGGATGGGAGATGGGCATAGAAGGAATGAGGTTGGGTGGGTGAGAAGGTGGTTGCTTCCAACCAAGAAGAGCCGCATCCACCTTGCTGACGGCCTGGGATCCTAGAAAAGGGCTCAGAGGAGACCAATGTTTCTGTCCCTGTTCCATTAGGACTGAAGCCCTCACCTTGGTGTTAACACACAGCTACCTGCTTTTTGTGGAAGCCCCAGGATCCTGTTTTGGCAGCACTTTGGAGGGCAGCTTTGTGCCAGGGTTCAGATTCAGTTGTGACTGGGGGATTTGTTGAATTGCCCCTGGTGATTGGGAGAATGGTTCTAGGGCTCTTAGAGTCTATAGGACACGTCGTGTGTTTGTGTTGTAGTGGGTTAAGTACGGGACTCTTAGCCCGGATGCAGCCCAAAGGTTTTCTGGGTTTATTTTGGCTCTGCCAAAGGCATGAGCCAGAAAGACAAGCCAAAGCCCTCCAAAGCCCTCCAGACGCGTTTTTAATGCTGACGTTGGCTTTGGAAGTTCTCATGACCAGTGACAGTGTTCAGCTATCACCGTTGAGTTTGCAGAAAAGGCAAAAATAAAACAGAAAATGAAAGCTGAGTCTCCCATTGTGGTTTCAACTTGCTTTACTCTGATGATTAGTGATGTTGAACATCTTTTCACATGTCTAGTGGACATCTGTGTGTCCTCTTGTCAACTTTTTAATTAGATTGGATGTTATTTTGTTGTTGAGTTGTATAAGAAATTTCACCTTACACTTGTGAGAATGGCTATCATCCATAAATCAACAAACAATAAGTGTTGGAGAGGATGTGAGAAAAAGGAACTCTTGTGCACTGCTGCTGGGAGTGCAGATTGGTGCAGCCACTGTGGGACACAGTATGGAGTTTACTCAAATAATTACAAACAGAACTGCCTTAGGACCCAGCAATTCCACTTCTGGGAATATATCCAAAGAAACCAAAACACTAATTTAAAAAAATATATTTACCCCTATGTTCATTGCAACTTTATTTACAATAGCCCAGGTTTGGAAGCAGCCCAAGTGCCCATCCATCAGTAGATGAGTGGATAAAAAAGCTATGGTACATTCACACAATGGAATACTACCCGGCTGTAAAAAAAGAAGGAAATCTTATCGTTTGTGACTGCATGGATGGACCTGAAGAGTATTATGCTAAGTGAAATAAGCCAATCAGAGAAAGACAAATACCATATGGTTTCATTTATATGTGGAATCTAATGAACAAAATAAACAAACAAGCAAAATAGAACCAGACGTTATAGATCCAGAAAACTGATAGCTATCAGAGAGGAGGGAGGTAGGGGTCTGGGTGAAAAAGATGAAGGGATTAAGAAAAAATAAAAACCTCATAGACACAGACACAGAGGACAAGGGGTGGAGGGAAGGGAAGAAGGGATGAATGGTAATGGAAGGACACTTGTCTTTGGGTGGTAAACACACAATACAATATGCAGACCATGTATTATATAATAAGACCTATATATTGATAGTTTTATTAACCAATGTCACCTCAATAAATTCAATAAATAAAACAAAATACAAAAAAAAAAAAAAAAACCCAAGTCTCCCAGTATGCCTCTCCATCCTTACTTCTCGAGGCAGAAGATTATTGAAGATTAGGTTGTCCTATATCAGGGTCCTTTGGGGAGCCTTAGGTGATGGCCCATAACTTCCCTCATTCTTGCAAAAGGGACCCTCCATATTCTATGTAACTTCTAGATCTCCACCTCCAAAGCACTGAGAAGGCCAAATATGACCTGCAGCAGGCCCAGGTTCCCAGCATGAAGGTTGCATTTACCTCTGTCTAGGCTGGTTTTTACTCTAAATCTTACAGATTACAGTGAAAAAGCCAGACTGTAATCTGACAAATCAGAGTGACCTAAGATTGGATAAAACTCTAAGACTGAAATAGATTCTGTTCCGGAGAAGCCTGCTCACCTGGGCCTTTCTCATGGCTCTCAGCCCAGGAGGCCGCTGCCAGGCCCAGGGGAGGAGATGCTGGCCGAGAAGGTGAGACCTGCTAGAACTCTGTGTGACCCTATATAAGTCACTTAACCTCTTGAGCTTAACCTCACTTAGCCTCCATTTGGCCCTCTAATAATTAGGTTGCAGCAGAGCAGTGATTTTCAATCTTTTTCATCCGACAGCACACATAAACTAATTACTTAAATTCTGCAGCATACCAAAAATATTTTTTGCCACTATGACCAAAAATCAGTATAATTTTGAATGACTTAAAAAATAATAATAATAGCCGAAACTGGTTTGTTTCAGTGGTAGAGCGTCGGTCTGCGGACTGAAAGGTCCCAGGTTCGATTCCGGTCAAGGGCATGTACATTGGTTGCGGGCACATCCCTGATAGGGGGTGGGCAAGAGGCAGCTGGTCGATGTTTCCCTCTCATCGATGTTTCTAGCTCTCTATCTCTCTCTCTTCCTCTCTGCAAAATATCAACAAAATAGCCGAAACCGGTTTGGCTCAGTGGTAGAGCGTCGGACTGCGGACTGAAAGGTCCCGGGTTCGATTCCGGTCCAGGGCATGTGCGTTGGTTGCGGGCACATCCTCGGTGGGGGGTATGCAGGAGGCGACTGGTCGATGTTTCTCTCTCATTGATGTTTCTGGCTCTCTATCTCTCTCCCTTCCTCTCTGTGAAAAATCGATAGAATATATTTTAAAAAAATATATCAACAAAATCTATTTTAAAAAAATGATAGAAATTACCTACCCTTTTGCTCCAGTGACTTAAAAAAAAAATCAAATGTCTATACTCTACTGTATATAAAGATTTTTTGTAACAAGAATTAATGAATCAGACCCAACCTTGTTATAGATATGACCAATAATATGCAACACTGTTATATGAGTTATATATTTATGATTCAAGATAGGGCATTCATAACAAACATTTATTGTTGTGTTGTCTATTGTCATTTTTTTATGTGACAGTCTAAGGGAAAAGAGGCCTGTGCCCCTGACAAAATAGTCAGGTATTGCCTGTTTTAAAAATTCTTGCAGCACACTGGTTGAAAATTGCTATAATAAATGATGACAAAGGAACTTCTAAACAATAACATTCTATAATTTCAACACACAAATATCCCTATTTGTGTTATCTTTTAATCTTTATTTCACACCCCCATCCCCTCTACATACATCTGGGTACCTCCCAAAATATCTATCAGAAAGCTTTTCATATAGTAGGTGCTTTAGAGATTATAGGTTGGCATACAGTGGAAGAACTCTATACTGGGCCTGTAGATGATGACTTTGAATGTTCCAGAGCTGAGGTCCCCTAGTGACCATCCTGAGTGGCTATAATGGACAGGCTGGAAAACCAATCAAGATGGTCAGCAGATTGGCAACTGATGAATGGCATTATAGTGTGGAATAAAAGCAAATTGCTTCCCTACCTACAGTTTCAAATAAAATAAAGAAAAAATGGAACCTTAAGACAATGGACTTATCTTCCTCCAGTCTTGGAACTTGAAGCTTGCCCGCATTCTTGGGCTGTTTTTCATTTTCTGCTTTGGTATGACACGTGGCAGAAGGGCTTTGGGAGTTGAGTCACAGCTAGTTACTCCAGAATCAAGGCATTTCTGACCTTGGAAACATCCAAGTCCCGTTGTCTGTCAGGTTAAATAGAGTTTGGACTCCAAGGCAAATATGAGATTCTTTAACTCCAACCTTTCGGATCTCATAGATCAGCAGTGGTTCACAGAACACCGGATGGCCACTGCTCCAAAGGTTTCCTGAAACTAGTAGTTGCCAACCTTTTGGACTTCGTAGACCACCAGCAGTCCACAGACCACCAGTTGGTGACTGCTGCTTTAACTAGTTGGTGTGTGTGTGTCTAAATTTGTGCCATCATCTCTTGGACATTGGTAACTAAAATTGACTCTCTCTGTCTTCTATAGCTTGTGTGTTTTTGGCCAGTTTGCCCATATCCTGTGTGTATAGTTGCATGCAATTGCCTATGATTTTATACTACAGGTGCCTTGTCAATTGCTAAATTATTTACACAATGAACTTAAGCTTTCATGTTTGTAAACGTGGTAATAATGTTAGGCTTCTGAGTCTTACTGAATTCGAGTTCTTGGAGTTATAGGGTGTAGAGATTTTCACCTTTCCCCAAGCTGGTCTCTGAGCTCCTGATTGAAACCAAGAATTTAAATGACACACAAAAAAGTCAACATTGTTTTACTGTACCATAGAGACTGGAGTATAGGAACCATTGTTCATTAGTGTGCAGGTTTAGGAGAGCCATCCTGCTTTGAGAACCCCAACTATGATTTTTATTTTTAATATTTTAATTGATTTTTTAGAGAAAGAGAGAGAGAGAGAAAGAGATACATTGGTGTGAGAGAGAAACATTGATCAACTGCCTCTTGCACATCCCTACCACAGATTGCAGGGGAATTGAATCAGCTACCTTTTGGTGCACAGAGTGACACCCAAAAAACTGAGCCATGCCAACTAGGGTCCCAGCTATAATTTTTTTTCAATAGGTATTGATGGTGAGGGCGGTCAGGGGTGTGAGTGCATTGAGTTGTCAATAAAAAGAAAGCTCTCTCTGATATCGTGAAGAGGGAATGTCCCTGTTTAATTTTTAAGAAATACTAGGATTGTGTTTCTTTTTCTTTCTTTAAAAAAAGATATATTTTTATTGATTTCAGAGAGGAAGAGAGAGAGAGAAACATCAATGATGAGAGAGAATCATTGATTGGTTGCCTCCTGCATACATACACTGGGGATTGAGCCAGCAATCCGGGTCTGTGCCCTGACCTGGAATCCAGCCATGGCCTCCTGGTTCATAGGTCAATGCTCAATCACTGAGCCACACTGGCTGGGCTGGGATTGTGTTTCTTTTTAGGAATCTTTTTAATTTGTGCCATCACCTCTTGGACCTTGGTAACTAAAATTGACCCTCTCTGTCTTCTTTAGCTTGGAATTGCGATTGGGTTCTTGGTCCCTCCTGTGTTGGTACCCAATAGCAATGACAAGGACAAGCTTGCCTACGACATCGGCATCATGTTCTACTTAATAGCAGGTATTGCCACCCTGCTTTTCATCCTTGTCATCATCGGTAAGTTCATCAGACTGCTGGGGGCGGGGGCGCAGGGAGGTTCTATGGCTTTGGTGGGGCTCTTGTGCACATGGCTCTGGAATATGGTGGACACTTACAGAATCTGAAGGCCAGGCTTCTAATAGTCTTCAAGTGCTCTAGCCTACGCAGTTGCCCCCAATAGGGTGCTAGCTGGTCTTGTGCACTTTGCGAGTGGCTCAGTAAAGGTTTGATTGTAATTACAGGGTTCCCCCGTATGACCTCACAGGAATTAATGGTCAGCCTGCTGATCCCTTGGTGAAGCCCTATGAGCACTTATGACAGCACAGGCATTGTGCTGTTCATGCTCAATCTCATGTAAGCCTCAGCAACCCTAGGAGTGAAGGTACCATTCTCAGTCCCATTTAACAAAGAGGAAGACTTAGGGGACTTAAATAAATTATTCAAGATTTGATAGTCCTTAAGTTGCAGAGATCAGATTTAAGCCTAAATTTGTGTAAGGCCATACTCTAAATTTCTGGAACTGAACAAAACAGAACTAACCCGCAAACACTAATCTCATAAATTCACCCGAGAATACCTAGGTACCACAATTTTAATGCTTTTCTTTAAAAAAGATTATAAGAGTAATAATCTGCTCATGAAAAAAATCTAGAAAATACAAAAAAGAATGACCATTAAGTTAGCCTTGGACAAGTTAATATCAACCTCAGGTAGCAATTATTCATTTTTATATAAAGGTATATTTAATCATTGAGGTATTTGGATAATATAATTTGAAAATTCTTTTATTATATGTTTCATGAGTACAGTATTCTAATTTGACATCTGTATACACTTTATCCTCAGCACAAGTCTAGAAACAATTCCTCACCATACAACTGATGGATAATATAATTTTATATCCTCTTTTATAATCTGAGTGATAGTATATGGGCTGTGATAAATTCAGAAACAGCAGAGTAAAGGTTTTCATTTTCAGTTAGTCACCCGTCTAAAGGTTAACCGGTTTTCCTCCTAATATCTGAAAGTTTCACTCACTCATGTTAAAGGTTTCATTCCTTCCTTCTGGCCTCACATCTAGAGTCAAGTTTATAATCATTTACTTCATTCAGCTGTTCTCACCTCGTTATTCCCTCCCTGGGTCCACGCTGAGAAAGGGCTGCCTGCAGGCCTCTAAGAGCCAACAGGATGTCTCGGACAGAGGACATGATGTTCCCGGGAAGGTAGAAGCTGCCGAGCTGTGAGTGAGAGCAGGAAAGAACAATCTAGCCAGGGATCCTCTTACTCGGCCAGACTTTAAGTTTCAAATTGGAATGTTCCCAGCTCCAAATTCTTGTGTTTGTGGCAAGTGAGGGCCTGGTTCTTTGGAGCTGAAATCCTGGAGGTAGGGCATTTCTACATTCTGGCATTTTATTATCAAGCACAGACTGAAAGATCTTATCTGAAGCAAGCACCTGCCATGGCAGGGATCAGCCCCTTGCCTTGCTTTCTTTACCCCGATGAAAGGGGAGGCGAACAGCCAAGACAGTGAAGGAGAGGTTCCCAACAGCAAGGAAGTCATCCAGGAGAAAATTACCCAGACTACTTCCGGAGAAGAAAGAAGCAGGGCTCTGGAGATATGCTAAATGAAATAAGCCAGTCAGAGAAAGACAAATATCACATGATCTCACTTAGATGTGGAACCTAATGACAAAATAAACTGATAAACTGAATAGAACCTGAGGCATGGGGACATGGAACTGACATATCTCAGGGGGAAGGGCAGGGACAGGGAAGAGGTTAACCAAAGAACTAACATGCATGTGTGCCTTGCCCATGGACACAGAGAGTGGGGTGAAGGAATAGGGTGGTGAGGAGCTGGGTGGAGGGGTACAATAGGGGGACAAGTGGGGGGCATCTGTAATACTCTCAACAATAAAGACTAAAACATAAAAACATTTGAAAAAAAAAAAAAAAAGGAAAGAAGCAGGGCTCTGTAGTCAGGGCTGGAGGGGGAGGGAGAGACTTTGCTCTTCAAGACATTGAACCTCATTTCCAGAGCTTCCTTTAACTGGACTAGGAATGAGTGTGTGTGTGGGGGGGGGGCCCACATGGTGCCTGCTTGGGCCCAATTGGGGAACCAGTTCAGCCAAGAAAACTGGTTAAACTGACCTGCCCTCTAGAGAACTGAATAGCAGCCAATGCAATTAAATTGATTGTACCACTTGTACTGAAAAGAGAATATAAAAGTCCTTCACGTCAGAGTAGCCACTCCCATGGGAGGCTGTATTAATCCTCTAGGCCCCGTGGTCGGCAAACTGCGGCTCGCGAGCCACATGCGGCGCTCTTTGGCCCCTTGAGTGTGGCTCTTCCACAAAATACCACGGCCTGGGTGAGTCTATTTTGAAAAAGTGGCGATAGAAGAAGTTTAAGTTGAAAAATTTTGACTCTCAAAAGAAACTTCAATCGTTGTCCTGTTGATATTTGGCTCTGTTGACTAATGAGTTTGCCAACCACTGCCCCAGGCCAAGCATGTCAAACTCAAAGGCTAACACTGGCCAAATAAACAAGGTTTAAGTTTATGTGAGCCACACACAAAAAAAAAACCTTCAATTTTCATAGAAACATAGGTTTCTTTCAGTAGAGACATGCCAAACACAAAGGGCTGAAATAAATGAGTAATCGCTAACACAAAATAATAGAACATTTTAATAAATATTAATATTTTTTCTTGAACATTAACTTATCAGACACTGAATAACTGTTCAAATTAATAAGCATAATTCAAAGTAAACCTATTTTTCTTGTTCTCTGAGAGTGAAATATTTCTTGTTGCACACATACCAAACAAGTCAGTCCAAGACTAATGATGTGGTAGTCAGCTGCTAAAATATTCGCTGCTAGTATTAGTGGAGAGAAATGCTGCGCCTGCACGTAAGGTGTTTAAGGGAAATAAATGCAACACGATTATAGTAATCAGTCATCAGTGAACGCTGTAGTTCATTATTAATAATACTAGAGGCCAGTTGCACGAAATTTGTGCACTCAGGGGGAAGGGCCCTTCAGCCTGGCCTGCACCCTCTTGTAGTCCAGGAACCTCAGGGGATATCCGACTGATGGCTTAGGCCCACTTCCCAGAGCAGTCAGGCATCGCTAGCACTGCTGCAGAGGCAGGAGAGGCTCTCACCACCGCCACTGCACTCGCCAGCCATGAGCCTGGCTCAGGGCTTCTAGCTGAACAGCTCTCCCCCTGTGGGAGTGCAGTGACCACCAGGGGACAGTTTCTGCATTGAGCATCTGCCCCCTGGTGGTCAGTGCACATCATAGCAACCAGCTATTCCTCCATTGGTCAATCTGCATATTAGCCTTTTATTATATAGGATGTATAACAGAATATTGTAAAAATTAAGTTACAAAATTTGTATTAAAACACTTCTTACATACCACTATATTGGCTGGACCAAAAAAATATTCATTGTGGGTCTCATGTGGCCACGAGCCTAGTTTGACATGTTTGCTCTAGGCTCTGTGAGGAAGATGTCTGATTCAGACTTTGAAAAACTAGGAATTGGACGTCAGATTTTTTTAATAGGAGATCCTTTTAGGTAGGGATATGTACTGACCGCCCTGTGCCAGAATAGTTGCTAAGCACAGGCAACACAGTCTCCTCCCCCTCAGTAGGAACTTGGGTGCTAGACCATGAGCTGGGCCCACTAATCCTAAAGCCTCAGCTCTCATGTCCTTTCTATCCATGTGTGACTATTGTGTGGTTTTCAGTGCTCGTCAGTGCTTTTTTTTTTTTTTGTAACTGGACAACCTTGAATCATATGTGAGCCTTTATTCCAGTAATGCTGGTGGTATGGGAGAGCATCAGGTTATCTATAAAAATCTGCTCTGCCTTTCCCCATAAGTCAGCTGCTTATACTGGGTAGAAAGACAAAGATTACATGGGGAAGTAGGGATTACAGGCATGAGGTAATAGGCATGGTATAATCATTGTAAGTTATAAGTTATGCGGGCTGTGGGGAAGTGGCAGGGGGGGATGAGGGAGGGGACTCAAAGGTCAGGTGCCTTGGGGCACCCCAGGACCAGATTACAGATTACAGGTTCCGGTAATAGGGGCTGGAGGTTGTAAAGAGCAGGTGCCTCCAGGACTAGATTGCTTCAGCCACGAGGCTGTAAATATTTTCATAATGATGGGCAGTTCTCAGGAAAGGAGGATGGACTGCATTCCAATGTTAGCTCTCAAGTCCCAGGGTTTACAACTCCCAACGAGGTTAGAATGAGCCTTCTCTTTCTTTCTTTCTTCCTTTCTTCCTTTCTTTCTTTCTTTCTTTCTTTCTTTCTTTCTTTCTTTCTTTCTTTCTTTCTTTTTATTAATTTAAATTATTTATTGTTTAAAGTGTTACATATGTCTCCTTTTCCCCCTATTGACCTCTCCCCAGCCGCTCCCATCCCCCAGCACATGCCCTTACCTCTCTACTACCTGTGTCCATTCGTTATCCTTATATGCATGCATACAAGTCCTTTGGTGATCTCTTACACCTCACCTTCCCCCCATCCTTGCCTTCCTTCTGAGGTTTGATGGTCTATTTGATGCTTCTGTGTCTCTGGATCTATTTTTGTTCATCTGTTTATGTTGTTCATTCTATTCCAGAATGTGCTTTCTTTAATCAGAACAAAAAATCATTCTTATAACTAATAGCTAGTCCCCAATATTATATTTCTGTCCCTAACATTATGGGACTTCTTGATCCTTGAACACTGCCCCAATTATTGCAGTCATCCAGAGGCCATGAAGAAAAAGTAATCAATGTAAAAAAAATAATCAGTAGACCACATACTCAGCCATAGACAATGAAAAGCAGCTTCAAGAGAGGAAGCTGTAAAGGATTTAATTGAAGAATTAATATTTCCTTTTGAGTCCCAGCTCTTTCTTGGGTGATGGGAGTCAGCTCTTGTCCATGTGTAACTCTGCTGGGCTGTAACTACAGGGATGTTCAGTGATCTCTCTGTTTCTTTCCTTTCAGTATTCAAGGAGAAGCCTAAACATCCCCCCAGCAGGGCCCAATCCCTGAGCTATTCCTTAATACCGGATACTTCGTACTTAAACCCCATCATCCGGCTCTTCAAAAACCTCAACTTCAAGCTGCTTGTCCTCACCTATGGTAAGATGCATATGTGTCCAGAAGTGTACTTGAACTGGGAATGTGAGGCAAGAGGCCTGATGTGTCTATGTATCTTACTTTTTCCTGATCCCAAATGCACATGTAAAGTAATTGTCGAGGGTCAACCGGAACAGTCAGCTGTGTCTCAGGGCCTTTGCAGGTTCTGCAAAATCTACTTAGAAAACCATTCTTTTCCCGTATCAGATTATCTGGCATATGCCTGGTGATCCTCCAAGTCTTACTTCAGTATCACTGCTGTAAAGCAGGATCAGGTGATCTTTCCTCTTGCTGTGCTCTTCCATTTCCAGGTCTGTCTTTCTCACTAGACAAGAATCTCCTTGAGAGCAGAGATTTATATGTCTTTTCATCACCAGTAGTGACTGGCCTGGAGTGGATACTCCTATAGTTATTGAGTAAATGAATGACTCTTAATAAATAAATGCATAAATGAGTTTTGCTATATGAATCACTCCTCCACCCATCTTCCTTCATCTTGTAACATTGACTCCCACAGAGTATTTATTTGAATGTAAGAAATATCCTCTTTTATTTTATTTAAAAACTAGAAGCCTGTTGCATGAAGATTTGTGCAATAGGCCTTCCTTCCCCTGGCTGCTGACACCGATTTTCCTCCGGCACCCGGGACCCAGGCCTTCACTCTGGCTGCCGCCTTCCATCTTTGCTCCAGCCAGAGTCTTTGCTCCAGCCAGAGCCTTTAATCTTTACTCCAGCAGGAGCACCACTCCTGTAGCTCCCTCTGCCCCCTGCCTTTCCCCTCATAGCAGCTGTCCCACCCTGCCTGGCCGCATGCATGCTGCCCAGAGACCTGGAGTGGCTGGGGGCGGAACTGCTGCCATCTTTGTTGGGTAAATTTGCATGCTCACTCCTGATTGGCTGGTTGTGTCACAAAGTGATAGTAATTTGCATATTCCTCTTTTATTAGTGTGCACATGTGCGTGCGCGCGCGCGCGCGCGCGCACACACACACACACACACACACACACACACATATATATATATATATACACACACATATTTAAGAAAGGAAGGGAGAGGGAGAGAGAGAAACATCAATGATGAGAGAGACCCTTTCAGTCTGCAGACCAATGCTCTGTCCTCTGAGCCAAACCAACTAGGGTCTCTTTCATTTTGTTGCCTTCATTAAGGTAAATTTTAATCTTTATTCTGTGTATTGGCTTGCCTCTCCAGCATGATGTTTTCTGCACCTTTTTCCCCAACCTTTAATAAGAATGTTAGATCAGACAAGGGTAAGAACAGAGCCTCGTGGCATTCTATTAAATGGATCTACCCAATTGCACTGCTCTTCGTCTTACATTTGATCACTTAATCAACTAGCTAGTTTAAATAACTCTACAGGTATTTAAAAAAATGAGATTGGTTTAACATGATTTATTCTTGGTGAAACCTCAGTTAACGATAACCTTTTATTGTCTATAGGTTCATAAGCCATGGGTTTTATAACAATAATAGCATTTACTATGTGCCAAGACTTTTCATATATGCTTTTATTTAACTTCCCCCACACCCATGTTAGGTAGATACTATAACCATCCCCAATTAACGTATGAGGAAACTGAAACGCAGAGGAATTAGGTAACTAGCTTGAGATCACACAGCTTTTAAGTGCCAGGACTCAGATACAGGTTTGCCTAGCTCCAGCTCCTGCCTGCTTGATGCTTATTACATACTAATAATTGCCTATGGTCCTTCCTAAAATCGTGCCATGGTTTCATGTTAGGCTTATCAATGCCATTTATCTCAAAGTGTTTATCTACTAAAGCATTGATAAGAGATGGCATCGTTCATGGCCAGAGAGGCACACCTAAGTGTTTCTGGCATAAATGTAGTTCAGTAACCTCTCATCTGGAATAGCTCTTGGTAACTGATTAGTCTTCAAGGCCTCATTCTCTCCAAGCTTCTCAGCTCTTAGGATATCTCTGCATTTATCCACAGTAATAACCTGGCTTGTGTGGGTTGATGGGCAAAACAATTCACTTCTGAGTCTCCGAAGCATTGGACTCTGCTGTATGTGGGTAGAATTTATTAACATTTTCCTCAAAGGCCTGGGGGTACCTGGATGTCTGTACTCATCTCAGAGAACCACAAGCCTAATTTCCATGGTAGAGAATTGGCCGTGGAGACAAGGCTCTTTGCCAACAAGGAAATGATTCTTAGGTTCAAACACAGACTTGAAAAAAAGCCTATTGAGCCCATTACTGTTTTTTAGGCACCATGTGAAGGGCTTTACATGCATTATCTTTTAATCTTTGAAACAAACCCATGACATAGGTCCTTAACTCTATTTCATTTTATACCCGAGGAAACCAAGATTCTGGTTTATTTCCTTGCCAACCATTGGACAGCTAGAGAGCAATAGAGCTTGGATATACACTTATGTCTGTCTGGGGCCTGAGCCCGTCTTTCTAACCAATGGTGTCCTGCCTCCTCATGCAGAACACAGCCTCTTGGAGACAGAGCCGAGCTCCTTTCTTAGCCCACTTGCCCAGGTGGTCTTGGGTCTACCCAGGGGAGTGTATTCTTCCTCAGATTTAATTCTCCAGACCAGTTAACATGGGGTTGCTTTCTTCTAGGGTTGGATCTAGAGTTTGAGGGTTTGGGAAGCAGGACCAACCTATTGGCCAGCTATCTGTGGGATTTGGAGATGACAGCATCTCAGCCTTAGTGTGTGTCTCTTTAAGGTTTGCAGGTCATGTAAAGGCAGTTCACCCAAGAATCTGCTTTCTTCTCCCACTTTCTTTGCTCCAAATCATCATCATCATCATCATCATCATCATCATCATCATCTAAAAAACAAACCCCTATAAATTCAGCACATGGCTGGGATTCTAGCAGATAATACAATAGCATTTCACAAACACATTTGCAGGACTTGCCTTAGAGAAAGAACCTTGAATGCTGGTTCGCTGAGTTCAGAATTGCGCATAAAGAATGGGAGGTCTGAATTTTGGTGTCAGTTACTGAGTATACCACCTTCACCCATCTTTTGTCTTTCTAACCCCCTAATCCCCTCCCCACTCATTCCTTTTTTAAATATGTTTTTATTGACTTTAAAGAAAGAAGAGGGAGAGGAGGCAGTCAATTGATATATATATATGTGTGTGTGTGTGTGTGTGTGTGTGTATATTGTGTATATATATATATATATATATATATATATATATATATAGGCAGTAAATGGATATATATGTGTATGTGTGTGTGTATACCCACACATACACACATATACATCAATTGATTGCCTCCTGCACGCTCCTTGCCCCCAAACTGCTGGGGATCAAGCCTGAAACCCAGGCATGTGTCCTGACAGGGAATCAAACCCTGAGACCTCTTGATGCATGGGTCAATGCTCAACCACTGGGCAATGCTGACAGGACCCATTTCTTTTCTTTCTTTAAAATATGTTTTTATTGACTTCAGATAGGAAAGGAGAGGGAGAGAGGATTAAAAACATAAATGATGAGAGAATCATCAACCAGCTGCTTCCTACATGTCCCCCATTGGGGACTGAGCCCCATTTCTTAAATTCTCTTTGGGAAGAATGGCAGCCTTCCAGGGTGAGCCCTGCTCTGCCCCCCTTACTCCTGCTCCCCACTTCTGACTTAGCGTTGACTCAATATCCAGGCTGCCTGGCGTAGGGGATGGCTATTGATAGCATTTGCTCCTCATTGGAGTTCTCTGAATGGGCACAAAAGCTGCTGTGTCAGCTGCCCAGAGCTGAAGTGCAGTGAAAGCTTCAGAGGAATTTCCCTATAGGGTCTTGGCCACACCCTTAGAGGTAGGTTTTTTTTTTTTAGATAAAATAAGGGCCATCAAGTTAAACACATACCTGGGTTACCAATTTGCTCCCACTCCCAGTCAGGCCCAAGTGGGAGGCAACCAGTCAATGTGTCTCTCTCACATTGATGTTTCTCTCCCTCCCACCCTCCTTCCCTCCCTCCCTCCCACTCTCCTTCCCTCCGTTCCTCCTTTTCATTCTCTCAGAAAAAAAGCAATGTGGAAATAACCCCAAACATGCCCCATGTGATATTTGGGGTATATTTATGCCAAAAAGTGGTTCATTTTTCTGAAATTCAAATTTAACCAGGTATGTGGTTTGTCTTTGTTTGTTTCTTAAATCTGGCAGCCCACTTAGAGGAAGGAGGTGCAGAAAGGGGTTTGTGCTTGATGTTGTCAAACTATCACAAGAAGAAGAAACTGCCTCCTTCTCTAGTAAAATAGACCCCCGCCCCAAACCTCCAGAGTTTGGCAATACAGAAAGATGGGGCTGGAACCAGATCCTCTGAGGGTCCTACAGAGTTTGGGTAGGACTTGTAATGTGTGTCAGCGGCGGGAGTGGGGTGAAGAAAAAACCTTTCTTCAGCTACCCTCTCTTTGTGCTTCTAGGTCTTGCTTTCCCAGGGCTTCCTCTAATCTTTTTTCATCCCTAGTGATGGTTTAATAATTGCCCTGTGAAAAATGCTACTCCTCTAAAGAATGTCCTTGAAGGGAATACTTTCCCCTGCTCTCCCCAGCCTTGCCTCCAGGGCTTCTGGAAACTCTTCCATGATGAGCACCTTAACCCAGAGCCTCACCGAGTGTCCCATGGAAACCTTTCCTTGGGTCTCTCATGGGCTTTACATGGGCCCAGGGCTGTGGTCGACAAACTGCGGCTCGCGAGCCACATGTGGCTCTTTGGCCCCTGGAGTGTGGCTCTTCCACAAAATACCACAGCCTGGGCGAATCTATTTTGAAGAAGTGGCGTTAGAAGAAATTTACGTTTAAAAAATTTGTCTCTCAAAAGAAATTTCAATCATGGTCCTGTTGATATTTGGCTCTGTTGACTAATGAGTTTGCTGACCACTAGCCTAAAGAGACATTTTCTCATAGGAGTATGGCCCTCACCCAGCAGGCTTAACTTGCTGGAGCTATACATGCCCAAGTATAGCACCTGTATTCCTCTAAGAGGTACTCACGCACAG